AAGTTATATATAAATAAGTTTATAAAAAGGGGCGTGGCACATCCCTTAGGAGTGAATATTTTTATCAGCCATAACTTCGGAACTATAAGTCACATGAATTTGAAATTTTGTGTATATGAAGTTGTTGTTGTAGCAGCATACAAATTCCCCAAAGACTTTTTGGGGAGTGTTGCTGGAGTCACATTCCTGGGCAGATATAAATCTGGGTCGTTCCGGTTACGTAGACCCGACTGTCATGGGAACGATGTATATGAAGTCATATGTATCTATGGTAGGTGCTTATGGTAAATCAGTTTATAAAAAATGGACGTGACACATCCCATAGGCGTGGAATTTAGTTTCAGCTTTAACCAGTGGAACCATAAGTCACATGAATTTGAAATTTGATATGAAGTCATATCTGTGGTAGTTGCTTATGTTAATGTTTATTTAAAATTATAAATTAATTTACAAGCTATTTAAATATAGGGGACCTGGTTTCAAAGGCCATTTTGTTCCCCGTTTTTAATTAATATTATTTTGGTATGTAGTATTTTGTAACTACTATTTGTTATACTTCATAGTAAACGTTGTGGATTTTTAACACGGTGCTAATTATACCGATAGTATCTATTGGTTCGGCTACTTTCGATGTTGGACATTGTTGCAGCATATGTTGCACCGTTTGTCCTCATTCTAGCAATTTTAATGCATTCTTCCCGAGTAAAGTTTTTACAATAGTTGGGACATTTCGGGAGTTCGTTGTGCATTCGCAGAAATGATTTTGACTCCTTCCATTTTTACAAGCTTTTATTTAACTTGGTCATCCCGCGGAAATTTCTTATCGATTTTAAACTAGCTTCCCGACAATGTAGAGACTTGAAATTTTCAGCATAGCTCCAATCACGAAGACAATGCAATTTAAAATACAAATGAACTCCCTATATGGCCCAGGGGTCTTGATGCAAAGGCGGTCAAAACATAGTAAAATTTATGGCTAACAGAGCGTAATTTGCCAAAGAACGTAAAATCACTATAAAATTGTTAAAGCTGCCGGCGGTAATAAATAAGAAGTATAGTTGCAGACGCTAGTATGAGAAATACCGGAATTCAACTTCAACAGTGTTTAAATTGCCAAACTGTTAAGATTTAAGCACTTGTGTTAAGAATTACATTATTTGGTTTCCTCACACAGCGAATTATGGAAATACAGAGATACAATAAAAGCCACACATAATTCATATGCATGCATCTTGAAAGTGTACATACATAGGTACTTCTACTATCGCGAAGACGAAAAAATATCAGTTAATACGATCAGAGTTGCCAACTATACTTAGCTATGAAGTGCCATATTGAGGATAACACAGTGCCAAAATGTGCCAAATAGAAAAAGGAAGTGCCAAAAAAGATGTCGCTCTTTTTAGTTCTTCTCATTTAGCATTAAAATTACAAACACATTAAAATAAAAGTCCAATGCAAAGTAAGATAAACCAGTTGTATACGCTATAGAAATTAGAAAATTTTAATTGACAAAAAGAAGTACACGCAAAGGATTTCCCAAAAATGTATTGAAATATTACTATTTTTCGAAAGTGTCGATTTGGCAGTTTGTGCCAAATTGAAAAATTAAGTGCCATTTGAAGTAAAATACGGCCAAGAATGGCACGGTTTGAGCGAAGTTGGCAGCCCTGAGTACGATGTGTTTCTTCTGAATACTGTTAAGGCGATGTGGAGTATGCTGCGTAGTCATGTGCCATTGTATGGTAAAGGTAAACGGAAAATAATTGTCTATAATTAACATACCGAAGTGGTCAAAAGGCTTAGGGCCCGTTGTTCAATGTCTGATTAACAAAAATCGGAGGTAGAAGCTCCGGTTAAATACAACAACTGCTTTATCGATCACATGTTATATGCATGATGTCGAAATCGTCGATAATGATGTACTGGTGATAACCATACATTGAGCAACGGGCCCTTAGCTTAGGTGAAACTACTTCAGTTTCAGATAGACTACATTTAGGGCCGTTTGCACCATGTCTAGTTAACGCTAACTGGAGGTACATCCTTCAGTTAAGCACGTTAACTGCTTTATCGATCACATGTTATATGATGGGTGTCGATAACGTCGATAAAGATGTTTAACTGGGAGTTAGAATTAACTAGACATGGTGCAAACGGCCCTTAAAGAACTTTTCTATTTAAAGCAACAAAATAAAATCTTTATACTTAGGAGCTGTTTTCATTATAAAGGCTTGCTCNTCGATTTGGCAGTTTGTGCCAAATTGAAAAATTAAGTGCCATTTGAAGTAAAATACGGCCAAGAATGGCACGGTTTGAGCGAAGTTGGCAGCCCTGAGTACGATGTGTTTCTTCTGAATACTGTTAAGGCGATGTGGAGTATGCTGCGTAGTCATGTGCCATTGTATGGTAAAGGTAAACGGAAAATAATTGTCTATAATTAACATACCGAAGTGGTCAAAAGGCTTAGGGCCCGTTGTTCAATGTCTGATTAACAAAAATCGGAGGTAGAAGCTCCGGTTAAATACAACAACTGCTTTATCGATCACATGTTATATGCATGATGTCGAAATCGTCGATAATGATGTACTGGTGATAACCATACATTGAGCAACGGGCCCTTAGCTTAGGTGAAACTACTTCAGTTTCAGATAGACTACATTTAGGGCCGTTTGCACCATGTCTAGTTAACGCTAACTGGAGGTACATCCTTCAGTTAAGCACGTTAACTGCTTTATCGATCACATGTTATATGATGGGTGTCGATAACGTCGATAAAGATGTTTAACTGGGAGTTAGAATTAACTAGACATGGTGCAAACGGCCCTTAATCTATTTAAAGCAACAAAATAAAATCTTTATACTTAGGAGCTGTATTCATTATAAAGGCTTGCTCAAGCAGCAGCGGTATGGTATATTTGCTCATGTATGGATATACATACATGCATACANGCCAAGAATGGCACGGTTTGAGCGAAGTTGGCAGCCCTGAGTACGATGTGTTTCTTCTGAATACTGTTAAGGCGATGTGGAGTATGCTGCGTAGTCATGTGCCATTGTATGGTAAAGGTAAACGGAAAATAATTGTCTATAATTAACATACCGAAGTGGTCAAAAGGCTTAGGGCCCGTTGTTCAATGTCTGATTAACAAAAATCGGAGGTAGAAGCTCCGGTTAAATACAACAACTGCTTTATCGATCACATGTTATATGCATGATGTCGAAATCGTCGATAATGATGAACTGGTGATAACCATACATTGAGCAACGGGCCCTTAGCTTAGGTGAAACTACTTCAGTTTCAGATAGACTACATTTAGGGCCGTTTGCACCATGTCTAGTTAACGCTAACTGGAGGTACATCCTTCAGTTAAGCACGTTAACTGCTTTATCGATCACATGTTATATGATGGGTGTCGATAACGTCGATAAAGATGTTTAACTGGGAGTTAGAATTAACTAGACATGGTGCAAACGGCCCTTAAAGTATTTAAAGCAACAAAATAAAATCTTTATACTTAGGAGCTGTATTCATTATAAAGGCTTGCTCAAGCAGCAGCGGTATGGTATATTTGCTCATGTATGGATATACATACATGCATACATTTGTATCTAGTTAACTTACATTCATATGCCTCCACAGAATGCTATATATATATTCTTGTAATACTAGATATACTTCGTTGGAAAGCAAACATAAAACCCAAATGTATGCTATGTACTTATATTAGCTTTAAATTTTAACGTTTCCGCAGCTCCCAATGTTTGTCTTCATCTTAGGCAGGGATCACTCAATTTGTACATTTTGGCAGGTACAGAGTGGTGTTGTTCGGAAATTATTTTATTGAGCTGAACTCAGATTTCTAAACAACACCAATCCGTGACGGTGTACAAATGCGTACAAATGTACAAATCGTGTGATCTTCGCTTAACGGCTTTTTGACAGCGTTTTCATTACTGCTAGTGATAGCAGAGCGTAATTAAGTAGCAATTAAGTAGTATAGTTTTAGGCACTGGTATGATATATTCTATTGTGAATTGCTTGGCAAGTTAAAATACCGGAAATTAGTTTGAATGAATCAGCTTTTAACCTTGTAATATTTCTATACGAATATCTGTAGAACACCTACCTGGTGTGTGGTTTGTACTTGAACTGAATGCTTAAATTAAATAAGACACCGATTCGTTTCTGATAATCCTCCCAATTCGTGACACATTGGGCGCGTTCATAAGACTAAGATTGTCTAACCGTTTACTGTTTGTCCTCGAAACGCACAGTTGAGTAGTTCCGCTCAGTTGAACAGTTGCCAACTTTCCGCCATATTTTCCATCGTACAATTTTTTCGCTACCTGAACTCAACATATTTTGCGCAGCCTAAGCAGATAATCGAAAAGATTTACGCCGCTTATATTAAATGTATTATGCTCATAAATGCAGAGTCAGCCCTTAGTAAAAATATTATGTCCTGGTTATATAAAATAAAACTAAAAAGTTCAAAATAAAATAATGTAAGAAAAATATTTTTTAAAAACAAGCTTTTGTTTAACATGTACAATCAAAGGAATAAAATAAAGTAGTGTAACAAAAGATTTTTTAGCAAGAAAATTTTGTTACTGCACTAAAATGAATAAAATAAAATAAGTTAAGCTTTCGTTAAAGTTACTAAAAGCCAAATAGTGAAAGGAGTTACTCAAACTCATGAAAATTACTAACAATTTGAACCGATTTACTTCGTTTTTAAAAAAACTTGTCGGCGAATTCAGCGTACATGCATAATTGGTACATATCGTCGCTGCGCCAAAAAAAAACAGTTATGTGATTTTTGTCAATTTTTTTTATTGCATATTTTTTTAACACTATCTATTACCCACATTTCTGCATTTGTCGTTTTCTAATATCTCCTTTGGCTTAGAACTGATCAAAAACTGCTCGCAGTACTAGAAATACTCTGATAAAACGGGTATACGCTTACTTGATTATAACTGTTTTTGATCGCAGATGAGTATGCTTTGATTTCGATGTAAAAAATAGTTATAAACCAACTAAATACATACATACATATGTATGCACATACCACTAACACTACAAAGATTCTACTATTTAATTTCATTGCTTGCAATTGGAATTCAACAATTAACAAAGGTAAAAAGTATGGAGGTAAACACCGTCCACTTTACATAAGAAAATGTATTCAATCCACCGATATATTCACCAATGGATTACATAAGTAGTATGCGACAGGCGAGGCCATCACATCCTTATATTGTTAATTATTTGGAGCTTTCATTGGATATCACCTATCGAAACTTTGAAAAAGTGCATTGGGTCAAGTTAATGCGCTGACCGAAAAAACAGTTCCCATCTCTGGCAATTTCATGGTTTGTACAAAGTATGTGTCCAATCACCACTTTGCATGAATTTTTATTAAAAAAATCCAATAAAAACGTTACTGTTACATAACAGAAGCAACGGGTAGTTAAATAATCGAGTCCTCAACGTCTATACATTGCATCTAAGCCTAACGGCAGTATTATGTACAAATTGCATAGGATCCCGTTCCGCCAAAAGCAAATTTAAATCGTGTATAAAAACAGCTATGTGCTTTAGAGCGGCGCAAATGTTGATCACGTCGTAATTGTGTTGTGTAGCTGGCTGTCCGGGCAGAGGTAAGTGGCAGGTTGGCATGCTTGTTGGCCCAGGCTAGCTCGACGGCCAAATGGGGGGGTTGTTTGCCGCTTCTCAACCTTCAGCTACAACAAACAAAAATTTTCTGTCATGCCAATGTAAAACGAAGGAGAAAAAGAAAGAAATGGAAGCCTGTCCGGGTCAGTTGGAGCCATCCCACCCCTTCTAAGTGCCGACGGCATTTAGCCTTGAGTTCCGCCGGGGCTCCTAGTTCATCATGCGAAACTCCCTTTACCTGACCTAGTCTGTCAGTCAAACGTTTGTCACCTGTTAAATCGTCATGTCACCTGTAATATACCCACGTCCCCTCCGTGTTGCGCCTAAGCAGCACCCACACCAACCTAAAAATTCCTAGCATTCCATCTTAAATAATAATGCTATGTTTACCGAATTTCATTGTAATACAAATTCATTTATTAAATTAAATCAAAACAAAACCTAACACATAAAATTCATCTTATACTATTTCTTTACCTCTACTACTAACTGAATCCAAATTTTATGATTATTATTATTATAGGTATATATGTATATATATTTTTTCTTCCTTTTTTTCTTTGCCTGATTATCTACTTCTATTAACAATATCTTATTCCCTTACTCACGAATATCTATCTTTCTTTTGTATTGCTTGTATTTTTTTCCGCGCCTTCCACTGTAATTCTTTAAAGTTTTTTATTTTGTAATCGTATACATATGCACATATATGTTTAAAAAGCGCAAACATGTATTCATGTGCCTTTGTTACCTCACATAAATATATGTATGTATGTATATATGTGACCTGGTCTACGAAAAGGGAGCTTACGTGCGAAAACTAGTTTTCTGTGAAAAAGCTGTTAAAAGTAAGCAACTCGTTTCGTTTACTCGTTTTTACTCTTCTTTCTCTACATTTTTAGTACACTTCTAAGCAAGTTAGGATTTTCTGCTTTTCACCACGTGAAAAAGCATCTCATCTTCCATCCGAATCAACCAAAAAGTGAAAATTGATTTTTTGACACCTAAGCCCCCTTTCCGTAGACCAGGTCACATATGTATATGCACGTTTTATATTACTTTTTTTTTTCTACCGTCGGTGACCCTTCCTAATGCTACTGAGTATGTATGTACATATATATGCAAATGTTAAAAACAGAGTACGAAAATAAACTGTACAAAACAATTCCCATTTGCTCATCGATCATCATATCATTTGTGGTTTTGTACAGTTTTGTACATAGTCAGAAACAAACTGTAAGATTCACTGTCATTTTCCCCAACGAGAAACGTTTGTTTTTCGTTTGTGACAATTGTACCATAGGGTGATATCACAAACGTTTCAATTACGTGAAAAATAATTTTTTCTGTAAATTTTCATATCCAATTCAATTAAAAAACATTTTTATTTTTTATTCATTGCAGCCATTCGTTTTGTGTTTAGTTATTGCATATGTGTACATACATACATATATTTTTCTCTGCACGATTCATTTCGTTTGTTGTTTCGTCTGTAACTACTAAACTACTGAAGTGTACTATCACCAAAGTGAACTCAGCCGTATTGTACTGAACTGTTGAAGTAATAAACGGAACGAAATAGTAACGTACAATATAGTTTATTTTCGTACCCTGGTTAAAAACAATAGTGACTTCTCACTTACCAGTATGTGCGTATGTTGTATGTCCACCGATGCTAGCGCCAGCATGCAGACTACCTGGGAAGTGTTGGGGGAGAAAAACAAAGCATTCATATGTACATATACCTACTGGAAAGGAGAGTAACCAAACAAACAGAAACAGGTGGTATAATGGATCACTATTAGTGGGTACGTATGCCACCTGTTTTGCTCTCCATTTCAGTTCGGCCCTTTAATCCGTCGCGAAAACAAACTAAGTGTCGTTTGAACGTATGTATGTATGTATACCGGTGCGTGTGACAAAAAAAAAAATAAAAATAAAATACAAAAGAAATTAATAAACCGAAAAAAAAATTATATCTATAACTTATCGTTATTAACAACAAGAATTGTGCGTGAAAAGCAAAATAAGTGATCGGATTAATGTTACTAATAATAGGAAACTGCAGTTATTTGGCAAATAAGAACTAAGGTGTAACGCGAGTACAGAGTAAAAAAAAGAGCGTGATGAATTTGAGCTGAATGTCAAAACTCAAAAATAAACGCAATGTAAATAATGTGGTGAAAATAAAACTAAGCTTAGAACAACTAAATTCGAAGAAAAAGGTGATGAAATAGCAAATTTACAAAATTAAAAAAAAAAATATGGTAATTGGCAAAATGCGATACGAAAATAACCAAAGACGTGCAAAAATAATAATTCTATAAATTAATAAACTAAAATAAACCAGGTGTGCTGCTGGAACGCTGTTTATTAGTGATGCTGGCGTTTTTTAGTGCGACGTCGATATTACTGCTGTAGCGTATGAGCGGGTGAGTTTGATTTATCCTCCGTGATGTGGTGTTGTTGTGTGATCTGCGACTTTGCTTAGGCCGGTACTGTGTATATGCAGCCGTCTATATGCATGTGATACTGGAACGGCCATGAGTTTGGCCTTTATGCTATGGTTTTGCCTGATGTTGCTGAGTCGGTGGTGCGTGTTAGCCGTGTGGCGTTAGCGTGTGTGTGTGGATTACGACGGTGGGGCACTTAGTGTTGCCGAGAATTTTCTTATAATTTTTGTTAGCGCGGCCCGGATATACATTTAACCACTGTATCACTGTATTCGGTAAATTTCTCTTAAGGTTTTGGTTTTACCTTTCTTTGTGCACCAAATAACTTTAAATTTTACTTAAAACTTTTTGTGATGTAACGACGGGTGAATATAGTTCGCGCTAGGTCAATTCTGACTTTCAGCACTGTGACTTTCTCCAAAAGAATCTCGATTAAGGCTTCAGCTCGCTATTTAAGCATTTTCGACCTTTGTTTTGGTTACGGTGATTCTGCGGTTATCCTTTTGTTTACAAGCAGACACAAATACACAAGCTCCGGCCAGCCAATAGAAAGATCGCAGATCACGACATCGAACAAGTTGTATCGCACCCGCTATTTTGACTTCGGACTTTACGTCTTCATGGTAACCAGTGGAAAGTTTTTATTTTGTTTACTTATACTGCTTCTGCTGTTATCACCAGGGCGAATTTAACCGCATGAGGTGGTTCGAAAAGGGTTGCTTCTTTGATTTAGAATATGCATGCATAGATATACACATGTTCATGCATATATCCACATATATGTATGTACATATATATATATGCATATATATTCATATTAAATCGGCTGTCGTTACAATTGGTCAAAAAAATAGTTTTTTTTTCCTAAATCAATATATTTTTAATATATTTTTTTTTTTAATACGAAATTTGCAAAATATTGCCTATTGGCACCAGGAATCAGTTTTTTTGCTCTCGTGAAAAGTTATTGGAACACATAACTGTTTTTGTTGGCGCAGCGACGATATGTATGTATGTATGCAGATATGTAAATGGCGGTTCGCTATTCGCGTGACAAACTTGGAAAAACGACGTAAATCAGTACAAATTGTTATTGTTTTTATTAGAGTTTGAGTAACTCCTTTCATTATTTGGCTTTTAGTAACTTCAACGAAAGCTTAACTTATTTTATTCATTTAAGTGCAGTTTTACAAATCTTTTGTTAACTACCTTATTTTATTCCTTTGATTGTACATGTTAAACAAAAGCTTGTTTTAAAAAAAATTTTTTTTAAATTATTTTATTTCTGGTGGTCTTCTTGCATGTTGTAGCAGAAGTTGGTTATAATAGAACTTAGGCAGGGAACTTCTGTTGTTAATGGGAGCGACAAAGCCTCAGCCGCTTTGCTGTCAGCCATCTCGTTTCCTTTTATTCCGACATGTCCTGGGAGCCACAATATTTTTATTGTAGGGCCTTGATATTTAAGTACATGCTGAATTAAATTGCTGTTTTTGGTAGATGCAAGATGTTTAACAACGCTTAAGCTATCGGAACATATTAAAGCTTTGCGATTTGTTGATGCTGCGTGTTTGATAGCCCGCTGTATTGCCCACAATTCTGCATTGAAGATACCTGTATGCGGCGGTAACAACGCTTGAATCAAGGTTTTGAACGAGTTCGTAGCCGTTTGTTCAATTACAGCGTAACTATTTCATTTCATTTCATTTAATAATCAATAAGCAATGTGTTTACCGACTATATTACAAATTTATAAAACAGGATAACGTAAAAAACTATGTCAAATTCAATGGCACATTTTGTCAAATTAATGGAAACGCTTGCCATTCGGTGCCATTGCCATCTTTTGTTAATCTATGATAAAAGTTTTAATCACAGAATGGCAACTCAGTGAAAACACCACAGTTTGTGCTTCGAAATCAATCAGTCAATCAAAATATTGTCAAATGGCATCACAAATCAAATTGACAACCTGTTGAAATTTTCCCGCATTTTTTAAGAATAAACATACAAAGCAGCAGTGAGATACTAATTGTGCTATTTTTGCAATACATTGGTAAGAGTTTGTTCTTTTAATAAAAACTTTATCTGCTGTTTGAATTGCAATACTGTAATTACCAGTAATGGAAGAAAGCTACGAAATCATCGCATCTGCATCCCAAGATAGCAGACCAGCAAAGAAGGGAATCCGGAAACTCGAAGCAAAATGGACAAGCGCGGAGACGGAGAAAAGCGCTCTGGAAGGAGATAGCTGGCGAAATGAAGATGGCACCGTCCGAAATAAAAAACAAGTAGAACAGTTTGCGTTGCTCCTTCGGGGTATGTATCCACGGTCCGAGATATTTCATAGTTTAAATGCATACTTGCTATCTATGTTTATTACAGACAACTTTAAACAAAATGAATTNTCTTCGGGGTATGTATCCACGGTCCGAGACATTTTGGCTGAATTTTTTTATTCATTCTGAACGTTTGGAATAAACTTTTTTGTTTACTTATTCTTTAGAACGTTCCTGATGATATGTTAACG